CTGTGAGAAGTTCTCGGCATGTCCTTGACAGCTTGATCCATGGCTCGTAATCCCTGCTCCCACTCACCCTTGAGAACAAAAAACGATAAGAAACTTAAATGCAAGTTAACCATTTCTTCTCACTCTAAATGTGTGACACCACTCGCCAACGGAAAGAGGAAGTCAAGGGTGCAGTGGTCGACGCACAGAAGGACAGGAAGGAAAAATATGAAGGGAGAGACATTACTCTACGTTTGTGAATGACAAGGCGAACCAAAATACACGTATTTGCCCCTAAAAACCATATGCGTATAATGTAACAGTTGCACGCGGGAAACCACACGCATTATTCCAACGTATTACACGCGCTTGGCACGCGTGTAGGTGCTGCAATATACCTGAGTGGTACTGTATGTCCAACAGGCACAAAACACCTTACTCGAGGAACATTTTCGGACCTCATTCCTTACTCAGTATGGATGGTCATCGCCTCCCGCACCTCTCCTCCCTCACAAAATGTTTTGCTTTACCCCCCGCAACCCTGGAACAACATTCCAGCCTGATCTAACGTTGCGTGGAGGTTAGTTAGAAGAGTTAAATGACTACATCGCTGACACGGACATTCACGATCGCTATACACTCCCGAGAAAGGCTATACCCCTTTATCTCCTAAAATCTGATGGTCAATTCTCTCCTCTTGTTGCCACACACTTCTATTTAAATTAGTTAAGAGAATTTGGTGTCAGATCAAGATAACAATTTCTACTTGATAAGTTTGAAAATGCTCCTAATCCATTTGCTGAATAATGGCTGGGTACCCATAGGAAGAAGTTACATGGAAATCACTTTTGAGAGTTAAACCTAATGCACAACCATTCCTTCATTTGTCGCATTCTATTTGAATAGATAAAAAGGATGTTAATAAAGGAAAAAATAACTAAGAAAAAGTAAGAGAGCATAGTCCCCCTTCACCTTGTCAGCATAAGCCTGGAACAACACTCCGTACATGGCAGCACGTAGCATCAGATCCTCATCATAAGCGCTTGGTATCGCTGGAGGTTTTTCCTCCTGTTCTACACCCAACTTGCTCTCTTTTGAATCTTGTTTCTCAGTCTTAACTCCTTTACTTCCAGTTTTGTCTCCTTCAAAGAAGAATAGTATACTTATCGTTAGCGACAGTCAAATTTAGTCCATGAAGATAACATCAGGTACCAACTGAAAGAATTTGCTCATCCCTCTGGATGGGTAGTTGTAAAAACACGGATTTCTTATAGAATCTTTGGTACCTAATTCTGTTATCGAAAACAATACACAAAAAGCCTGTGCCACTGGGAAATTCTATCTACTTCTCATATTCCGTTAAGCGTCTCTGGGACTCACAAAGAAACCAGATACATGCAAACACGCTCTCATTTGATCTATCTGCGCTAAGCGCATACACCTCATAGAGAGACACTTAAGACTTATCACTCGCTTTGTTCAATTCATTGTAACCTTTTACCTCCCATGAGTGACCAAGAGAGAATTTCTCTTTACAACATCAATACAATATCAAGCATAGAAGTGATGAGAATAAAGTAAAATGCCAATTAGGGGATTATTAGTTGATCCAATACCAAATTCTCCAAATTGACATCATAAGAAATGTATGGCAAACAGTAAGGAGAATTACTGATGAGATCTTGGGAGTTAGAGGGTTAACAGGGTATGGCGGTGTTTTATAAATACCAGGTTTGCCTTTATCTTTGTCTTTGTCCTTTTCCTTCTTTTTATCTCCCCCAGTTTTATCTTTAGTTTTCTTCTCTTTCTCGATCTTGCTGCTAACGGGTTTCTTCGAAGGTTTCTTTTCTGGGGATGATGATTCTGTTTCTTCATCTTCATCCTAATGGGATGAACAATAGACACGGTTTCTAGTTTAAACTATTTAGAGCAAATTAGAGGCAGGAAAACCCTACAATTATCTGGAAGCTCTACCCTTTGCAGTTTCATACGATTGGTGTCAGTGCGCTGAAGTCTATTGTATGTTAACCCAAAAAAAAAAAAAAAAAAATAGCGGATTGGATTAGACTAATAAAGAGCCGGCCCGTAGGATTTGTGCGTAGCATGGACTTTGACTGAGTGTGTGCGTTCGTGGCTCTTTGTTATCAGAGGTTCGACTGAATTTACGCCGTAAAATCTCAAGTAATTAATTAACAAATAGATTTCACGTTGCCGTGCGTCTGTTTCGTAAAAGATCGCGGATGACGTCAAAATATGGTGAAAACAAAAGAGTCGCATACGAGGAGCAGCCGAGTGTGTCATTGATGTTCTTACCACATTTTAACGTCTTCTGTGATCTCTTGTTAAACAGACTCAAGACAAATGACATATATTTATTTAATACGATAAAAGAGCAAAAGTGCTGTTAATAGTGACGTCATCTATTCGTCTGTCCTCCAATAAATCATAAGTGAGAACCAATCAAATTGCGTTTATAAATCAGCTCACCACGTAAAGTGAAATGTTCGACACGGTACGAACTTACAAATGTTTTGTGCTCTAATGAATATTTTCAGCAGTACGCTGAGGTAAAGTATTTAAAAGAAAAAAAAATCAATCAGTGTTATTCGACAGCCTACTTACGTCATCCTCTTTTCCTACTTCATTGGCAGCAACTGCAGCGATACACTCCAACACAGCTTCCATGGGCTCTTTGAGAAGCTCTCGTTCGATGGGCTCCACAATGAATGGTTTAATAGCATTCCAGTAATGACGGGCAGCAGCAATCACTAAATCGTAGTTTCCAGCTTTTTGCCCAAACCTAAGATGTGACACAGAGAAATCGTGCGCAAAGAAGTAGGTTTTGTGTTTAACCTCAGGCGGAGTCATTGACGCGGCATTAACTTACATTTACCTACTTGAAGTATAAAGCTTTTGCCTTTATAAGGCGGCTTATATTCGAGAGCAGCGGTGATTTCAAAATCATATTTCTGAAATCATTGACGACAACTACGGCAAATCTCTGGAAAATATTATGCGAACAGAAACATGTTTCAATTTCAAACGTTTCGCTTTTTTCGCTGAGAATCGTACTTGGTTAGATTGTGATATATGCATCACGGATGATGTAGCTAACCGCACTCAATCAAAAATCTCTGATGCTGGAATACACGCCCTTAGGTGCAGCTTCTATCCGAGGGTGGCATTCATTCAATTGGTAATTTTATTTTTCATCTGCGGCATAAACCCTTAACTGCCATCGGTGACCGAAACAGTATTTCTCTCTACAATATATTAGAATATCAAGCAGACAGGTGATGAGAAAAAAGAAAAATATCAATAAGGGGATTGTTAGATGATCCGATACCAAAATTCTCCGAGCTAACATAAGATTGTATGGCAGACAAAAAGGAGGATTACTTATGTGATCTTGGGAGTAAAAGGGTGAAGATCGCTGTTTGATTGACTGTCGTGAAACCGATACCAGAGAAATCACAGCAGCTAATCAGAAGAAAATGGAAAATACCCTAACAACAAAAACAACAACAGCAACTTTATTTGTACCCTTAAGAGCCAAAGAGAATTCAAAGTTTAGTAAAACAAACAACCTGCCCGAAGCACAGGAAAACGCGGGTAAACTAAGTCGTGATTGGTTTCAGTCTCATCTGACAGGCTTAGAGAGTGGCGAGCTTTTTTCTGTACCATAACAGAGCGAACATAAGAGAAATCAGTGCAATCCCAGTTTACAGTCTACACTCAGTCGTATATTATTCTAACTGGGTGAATCGTACGTTACGGAGCTAACACAGTACAAAAGCACGGGTATTACCTGCATGCATTCACAAAGCAGACCAGTGCGTCTCTCCTTATCTCATTCTTTCCCTGCATGTTTTTCATGAGGCTTTGTCCCATCACAACGCTGGCGTAATACAACATCTCCTGCTCTACCACAAGTTTGTGCTGAAATGTGCTGCAATTCAATTGAATGGTGTCATTTTCAGCGTCATAAAATGACAGGGTATGACAATACGATTTCTATCAAAACACAAAAACTTGATATGAAGCAAAACCAAATCACATTGGCTCCAGAAAAATGATTCAACCACTTCCCTGCTTTGAGAGTAGAAAGGCAAAGAAAATTTACAAGCGTTATAATGGATACAATCTGTATAATATTGCCATGGGTGTTTAAAAGAATGGTGGGTATACTAAATGCGTAAAAACTACCTTTTAGAATTTAGACATGATCTAAGGATTTTATTGACAGGACAAATAAACATACATATCAATATGAGAAAAACTTCAAGCAGAATGGTAATCATGATAAAAAGGAATGACGCGTGAAGAAAAATTTACAACGATGGAAAGGTAAATAGGAAAAGAGAGAAGACTATCACGCAGAAAGGTGATGGAAAAGGGTCAAACAGGACACTTTCAACATGCCAGTGACAGAGGCTAAATTAGCTAGATTAGCACTAAAAGAGAGTTCCCAGTTAGAGAGAGTGGAGAGAGAAGTAAGATCGTTCTCACACCTATCTGGTTTCTTGGGTTGTCGCTTAGCTAGGCATTTATCACTGTCGGCAAATTCCACAGCCCTCTGTCCACAGTGAAGCACTAGTGAATGATTGTCAGCATTGAAAGCCAACACCGACAGCCTGCTCCACATCTGTAACTCTACCAGACCGTCACTCCACTGGCAGCCATCTACCATTTTCACAGTCTGCAGAAAAAAAAACCCAATTCAATTGCCAATGATTTAGTACGTTCGTTGTTGTTGAATCATCTCGAACGAATATTTCCGAAGGAAAAGAAAAGCTAGTTCAATTCAACAAGCGGTAATACAGAAGCTCTACTCTAATAAGAAAAAGAAAGGGAGGAAGATAAAAAAAACAACAACAACTGAAGGTGGTCAGCCGGTAGAAAGAGGGGCACGATGGGAAGAAATGGGTCTCAAAGCTCAGGATCATATGCAGTGGTGGAGAACTGTGGAAGCTTTATGCTTCAGAGAATCGCGATGAAGAGAAAGAAGAATTTGTTGTTATTGACTGCAATTGACTCCGTTGCACTAGATAACTGGGGTTTTAGGGGTTATCTAAGTCACTTATTTTAATGAAATAAAGAATTGATTCTCGAGTGGCACTTCAGGTTGATAGACTTCATGGGCTACATTTCTTTCAATCGCCATTTGATGGATATCGTGGCAACAAATAAACAATTCCACAGGGAGAGTACTTGATAACAAGACAAAACGTTTTCGCTTTACATTGTATTTACTGCCGAAGAGAAATGGTAAACCAAACCAAGCTGGAGTAGAATTTCCCACAGACCCTTCACAATTTCCCAGATAAGTTCCCTTCCAAGTCAAGGACACTGACATATCTATTCTTTGACAACATTCGTTTACTTTCAAGGGAAACTTCTCCAAGGGAACTTATTGTTGTAACGACGCTTGAAAGAGCATGAATGACCGACTCACCTCGGCAAGAGTAGGACATGTACCAGTGAATTCTGGAAGGCCATTGTTCTGTAGAGACAGCATCTCAACTGCACACAGAGCACGGCACATCGGGCCCTGGCTATGGGGATTCTAAAAATTAAAATTTGAACAGGAAATTACTAACTTAAGCAGACGAGAGGGAGGAAGATTTTTCAAAACTGCAATAGTACTCGGTAGCAAAACCTAACCTCGTCATCATGACCAAGATTCTTTGCCATCTGCTGATTCAACATCTGCTTACAGAAGACCCAGGAAGTGATTAAGGGATGGCGAGCACCGATCGGTACTAGGTTTTTTGGCTCTTGGCCATTAGTTGTGTTTAATGCATACTCCAACACCTGAAGAACAGTGCAGAACGAAAATAAAGAAATCGTATTACAAGTAACAGAGCCCGAAATTAACTTATCTACGCCAGCGCCAAGTAGCAACTGAACATTTTTGTTTCAATTCCTAGAAGCAAAAATTTGGACTTCTCTCTCCAAATCACAGCGCGTTGACCACTAGGCCACAAAGTTTCCCACAAATAACGCGAAACCCGCCTCCAAGAAGGCTAGGCACTCCAACAGAAAGCGCTTACAAAGAAGTGATTTTACTGCGAATTTCCAATTTCATAAACAAAAGCGCGACGAAAGCGGCGCGACGACTGGTTGAGCAAGAGAGAAGAAAATCTTCGACGCTCCACAGGATTAAAGCCTCATCTTCGCGACTTTTAAGTGTCTTAATGACGTTCCACAATAGAAATATACAGCCATACTTTGAAACAATCTCTCGTTCAAATGAACGAAATTTTCACGTATCCCATCCAACATGTACTAGATTGTTATGGAAAAGTTCCCTTACATCTAATGCTTGTTTCAGATCGGGTGTAGCTTCAGGATCGATCGTAACTGTCTGTAGTGATCCTTTTGATTGTCCTCCCTTGGCCCCTTTCCCACTCTGGCGTCCCTTTACTTTCTCAGTCTTCTCACTCTTGTCTTTACTGGGTGTGGCTGATGCTGTGGGAGGGGTGGGAAGAGCTGGGATCCACGGCTGCATGTAACCTTGTGCGATAGCATTACAAATTTGGCACAACAATATTGTTTCACTGTTGAAAAGAAAAGTTTGAGCTGAAATCTTCCTCAGAAGTAGTTTTACTGTATTTTAATACTCACTCGCACAGGCAGTTGGAAAAATGTTGAGACACCTTGGTCAAAATATGCACTTGGTATCGTATTGATACCAAATCGTTTCATTAACCGCGTGAAAGAACTTTTCTTTCATTTAACTTCCTTTTCCCAAATATGTTGAACCTGTTTCACTGCAATCGATAGCCTCATGAAAACATTCTCACCCTGCATGTCCGGTAAGCTTCACTGCTTCCAAAACAGGCGAGAATATGGGAATGACTTCCTTGTGTCTGCCTTGTGACAGCATGTGGGTTGCATAGTTCCACAAGTACACAGCTGAATTGCAAACAAGCCATGACTCTTTCAGCTCTACGCCGATTTCAGCGGCTCGCTGGAAACTGTAAATCACCTCATTCGACAAAGACGAAATCCAGTTGCTAACAGAATGGGGGAAAAATATGTGAAACACAAATCTTGACAAAACTGACCACAATAAGAACATCGTAGCCGTTCTTTGAGAAGTCACGTAATGCTCTCTCTCTCTCTCTCTCTCTCTCTCTCAGAAAGAGCATTGCGCGACATCCAAAATAACGTTTGCGAAAGAGCGTGGCAGAACAGGAGTCCTTTAGATGTGTTTATCAGGCACGTGGAATTACAAGCGAAGCGAGCGCGACTGCACGAGGCGAATCACTCGCGAGGAAAGAAGCGTGAAAAGAAGGGAGATCTTTCAAGATCACAAAAAGATAATGAAATTGAGCGCTAGATGGGTGTAGATTTTTTGTATGATTTAACATCGCCAATTTTAATTAAAGCTGCTATTTTGAAAAGAGATACATGTATGTTTCTTACCAATAGGAGACCCATTCTGGCATATCATCAAAATTGACGAGCTGATCACCGTATCGCTTAGGGCGCAGCTTGATGGTATCCTCAGGTGGCACTGGTTTGTCACCCAGTTGGACTCCTTCAGTTCTTAGTAACTGTACCAAAGCCTGTAGGGAAGGGACCATTATAAAGGGAGGGTTAGGGGTCACCACGATACAAAAAAAAAAGTAATGCGAGGGGAAGAGTACGCTAAATAATTAACCCACAATGATAATCCAGGGCTGTGGTGTAGCATTCATCTGTTAAACTTCCACTTACTTCATCAGAAGAAAAAAGCCTAAGCAAGAATTTATTTTAACAAAAAGAATTCCGTACATGGAAATATTGGACTAAATTGTCATGCTGCGTACGAATAGTACCCGTAAAAAGGCCTCATAAATCCTTTCTCATGAAGATAAACGTTGTGTGATTCAGTTCTGCTGCTAAAGTTTAGTCAAATAAAATCTAGAAATGACTCAGTAGAACACACTTGATTTTTCTACTTGACCCTTCAACTCCCAGCAGTTATCCGTATAATATCCATAAATTATTCAGCAATTTAGATAGAAGTTGTTATCTTCATCTAAAACCTAATCCTCGAAACTAATTTACCAGGAAATACGT